TATCTATCTTTGTTACATACTTTCTGTATTGATTGTTTTGTATCTTCCTTTGTTGGTATCTTTTTCGTTTACTTTCTATTTTCCTATCGTCTTCCGTTCTTCATTATATTCTTCTTTAATTTTTTGCTTCTTAGTTTCCTTCCTTCGTCTTTCTCCCTATCTTACACATCTTATATTCTTTTCTTTAGATAATGCAAAACCAAACACTGCTTACCCTTGTTATAGATGGCGGGTTCAAAGTTGTCGAAGCGTTCGGACATGGTGGTCTCTGCCTGTGATATGAAAGTTGTCATCTCCTCCGGCTGCATGTGGGGCATTTTGACGCGTGGCATTGTGGGAAGGGGGTCGATTTCCACTGGGGGATGCAGGTGTTGAGTGTAACACATGACAGCAACGCCCAACAGCACCACGAAGTACAGACAAACAATAGATCTGGAAAAGACAAGGAAAATGTGTTCGTTGAGGATAAACCTCATAACTGCAGGCATGAAAAAACAGGAGCTTAGCGAAACATCTAGACCTACGTTGGAATGCATAAGAGTGGATGGAGTGTGCATATAGCAATATACTTCGGAGTTCATATAGTTTACCTTATATTACAGTCAAGTTTACGTATGTTAGGCTGAATAAACACGTGTCTAGAAGAGGAGATATTTTCTGGAAAACCAAACTAGATATGCAGATAAATAAAACAATAATAATAAGTACAGTAAATTGTCCTACAATGCGGGTTTGTATAAAAATAAATGCGAACAATTAGTGTTTGACGAACGTGGAAAAATCTATTATAAGCGGTCTGCGAAACACGCTGTAATAGCACACGAAAAATACCACGGTTTAACTTTTGGGTATGCTTTTGTATAACCAACAGATGGAGTTTATAATTTCTCACGCCACAGCACGGGTTTCGGTGTCAACTTCAACTTCCTGGGACTAAATATCCACCACAAAAGATCTTTAGATCACGGTCATGAAACAATGAGGGTTGCCCTCTTATGACTGGTCTAAATACTAAATGATTTATTTGGATTTTTTTAAACCAAACTGACTTCTAGAAAGGTTATTCACAATGCAGCTGATATTCAAAATTTCTGACGCAAGTTATCGAAAATATAAACGTGGAAACGTTCAAAAATTTACTATTTGACATGTATAAAAATTAGAAACTATTTATTGTGTAAGGGATCATTCATTAAAGGAAGAAGCTAAACAAACTGTCATCAGAAATTTCTGGTAGAGATATGTACAGGAATTCGTCACAGAACATAATTACGTTTCGTCAGCCACTGATAGCTGAGCTGTGATTTCAGCAGCGATCACCAGCTACAATGTTAACTAATAGTAGGTGAGTCAGCCGTTTACCTCTTCGTAAATAAACACCCACATAATCCAGGAAACGGAGTCCGGGTGTGTGACCCTTTCGCTTGAACCAGGACAATTGCTTGACCGGAATTTCATTACAACGGGATGGACCAGTTCGTTGCAGTCACTAACCGCAGTGCAGCGTGACATCATCATCACGTAATTCTTTATAATTATAGGAGAGGTAGGCGCACCGCAGAATTCACTCTATCTTTTGTTTTTCCACAGTTCTGACTGCAGAATTCACCGTCTGTCAGGTACAGAACCTTCCAGAACCTGGGCCCACATTCACATTTTACTATCAACTAGAGGGCTACCGGATTACAAATGGCGACAATTTATCAGACTTAAGAAAACCTGTCAAAAATACTACTTACTTATTGACTATCATGAACAGATTCGCGTATTACTAAATTTTCTTTATTAAATTTGTTTATTTGTTACTCTTAGCCTTTCTAGCTTAAAATTAAATACTCAATGTGGTAATTTTTATTTTTTATTGCTTAAGCAGTAATCTATTTAAAAAATGTACACGACTTGCTAAAATATCGGTGGGCCACTGGTTGAGGACCACTCATCTACAGACAAACGGACACTGACAGTAGATAATGACGGTGACAGCGTCAAATTATACGTTGTATGATCAGTGAGTAACGAGACGAAAACAATGTAGAAAGAATCGGTCTAGATACCTGAAAACCCACGAAGAATCTCAGCCAGGACAGCCGTCTCGGCTCCGAGACTTAAACCGGAACCTCAAGACAATAAAGCAGAATTGCTAACCACTTAATCACGACGTTCGGTATCCACCAACAAAATAAACCTTTCTCTTCCAAGTAGCCTCGTCCTTCGAGGTTTTCTAAGCAAAATGTAGTACGCCTTTCCCATTTCTACTATTCGTTCTGCATGTTCAGCTCATCCAGTACTTGAATTCGACACAAGGGTTGTCATTGTACAGCATGGACTCAATGTTAACTCACATCCACCGCGAACGGCCGTGAAGAATGTACGTAAGAACAGTTCACATGATATCTGTGATGGAAAAAGTGGTACTGGGGCACGTCTTTCTCATGGTATTTCAGTTTTCGTTTACCAGTAACCATTCCACCAAAGTCCCACACTCACGTATTATATCGCTTTGATCTTCAGTGCCAACAGCCTGTCTCCCATAACACTTCTTAATAGGACACTTTAACGTCGTAGATCAGCCTAGGCGTAAGAGCTGCGGCTGCGCAGTAGGTCTCACGGTTATTCGCCGTCCCGCGCCCCGGTTAGTGCATGTGAGGTTTTGTGTAAACAAAATGGTAGTTGGACAAGTTTTTCTCCGAGTCCTTTGGTTTTCCACTGCTGCTCCATATCCACTTATGCACTATATGAAACTTTGGGAGATGTAATTAATCCGATTTGTATTCGGGGGTACCGGGTTTAAAACTCGATCCTGCGATCATAAGATTATTCGTCAACTTCGTCTGTCCCTGAATGTATAAGCTAATAAAGTACGTAGAAATAGGCCACGATATCTCCTTTCTTAAGTATTTTTTTAGTTAATCATTTTTCATGGTCTTCTAACCTATATTCGAATCTAAATATACTCAGCAGTTGTTACAGCTTTCTTTACTTTCTATCCAGAGAAATGCTTTTAAAGAAAAGACAAAATTACGTAAAAGTAAAGTATCTGCTTTCAACAGTACTTAAAATGAACTTGGCGTTTGAGTGGTTAGTATCTTGCTTCGTATTGGTGAGCGGAGTCACGAGGTCAAATCTGTTATTTGGAGACGCGCTGTCTTGACGGAGGCTTCTCGTGTCTCCAGGCTCCAGATAAGTGCTTCGACATCACATTTAATCAGGCCACGACTCCTTTCTTTCACATTTCCACACTTAATGTTTCACAAACATCAAACCTTAGCTTTTCGAAACTACTTATAACCTACGCTCTTAATAAACGTCGTGTTCACAACAGCCCAACAGAGAACATTACTCTCAGCCAGACAAATCTAAGATTACTGTCCTTTGGCTTGTTGCACCGTGTAGTCTGGTAGAAGTTTACCGACATTTTATAAGTCCTTGTGATAATCCTTGATTATTAATTCAACAGGCAGATCTGAAACGTTGGTGAAATACCAGACTACACGGAGCTATAACCCAAAAGGCAGCCATCTCTTTAATCACCGCCGTGAGAACCTAAAATCTCATCTCGATAAATTAAGTCTATACCCAAACACCCTACATCCTTAAGAGCCCTCATTGGTCTCCAAAGACTTGCTCCGTTCAGATTTTCTGAGGAGATTTATGTATTTACCTTAAACTTCTTGCATGTGTGCTGCATTCGCCATTTTCCTTGAAGTTGTCACACAAATATATACAATTTTTGTGAAGAGTACATTTATAAAGCTCCTCATTATGCAATAATCTCCACCCTGCTGTCACGTTGTGTTTAAATATATGTATGTGTCGTCCTTTTCGGAACGTTATCATTCCAACATGCTTGGTTAATTCACCGTTAACTTCAAAGAGGCTGCAATTCCGCTATTATTAATGAAAGTGTGAGAAAGTGTTGTGCTTTGTCACTGTCTGCATAAGCCGTAGCGTGATGGATGACACTTTTCTCGGAATTTCACCGAGATCCTGTTTCGCAACAACTGCTATGCGATCAGAATTGTATGAAGACTTTCGCTATCATTTGTTATAAGTTCTAATTACATTTATCATATTTAGAGACTGAGATTTATGAAGCTCTCATACATAAAATGCAAGAAGAGAATGTGTTACATAATTTTTAGATGATAATATAACACTACTATTCTGTAGACACTCGTAAAAATTTAACGCAAATCTGTTTCTTTTCAACTTGTACTCCAACCATAATTTTGTACCTATTTTCATAATCTCAAATGCGAGCTACATGACTCACCCATACAAACCTGTAACGATGCTAGGCAACTATACGTTTTCGTAAACACAGTGATTTGGAATTTACAAGATTTGGCACCATGGATACAAAAAACCATAAAATTTGAACGTCAAATTCTTTAGATTTTAGAACTAAAATGAATTGATAGTAGAATATTTCGCTGTATATTTCTTTCAGCACCGTACATTAATTGCCATATGTAATTCAAGAGGTTAAAATATTCTGTCATTATTTACGTTATCTGAGAAGTTTATTTGACATTAGTACGTACAACAGTTCAGTACCAGATGATTACAATACATTATGTAAGATATAATATAATTTATTTCGTTACAGTGCTAAACGTGAGCTTTAGTTAGTTATGCGATAATTATATTACTATAAGAATTAGGCCAAGTGCTGTGCCATTATACTCGTTAGCATAGAAAGTGTCAAGACAACGTTCAACAGAAGCTTCACACGGGTATCATCAAGTATTCGCTATTCTGTTAACAAAGAGTTACAGTGCAGAACGTAGTCAGTCCTGTGTAGGCGAGGAACTAGGTCAGTCAAACACAACTCCGAGCATTGCGGAATCAATGCCACCATTATTATTCTAATGGCAAAAGTTAACAGTAACTTCAGTAGTTAATAAACAAACGCAGACAAAATTATTTGTACTTTTGATGTCTTGTCACCAGAATACAATATGAAGTAACAAAATGTTTCCAAAATGGTTACGATAGCAAAAAATCAAATTTACGACCTCTTGACATATAAATTTCGTGACACTTGCTAACATTTGGTTCATAATCTTTTAGTTTCACATCTCGTGTCTAAAAACGTGAAATATACAAAACTATAATTATACACGTTTTTCGTACGGCTGTGGAACTCGGGCTCCTGCCTTAAAACGGTACAACCTAAAGACGTAATGAGAGAAAATTTGAACGCGGACTGTTAAGAATCAAATTTGTAACACAAGAGCGAAGAGGTAATAGGGGGACGGACAAAACTGCATTGATGAAAAGATTCATACATTTTTACCTACAAGAACAGTTGTGTTCCGTATCTCAAGAACAACAAATCACAAAATTAAGTATACATTTAACAAACAAACGTCCTGAAAATTTCTTTAATGCCCGACCTATTACACTAACCGACTCATTGACTTATAGCT